TATATGGTTTAGGGGTGGGGATCTCAACCATTTACAAGATATTAGAACATTGGGGGTGGGGGGAACCCCTGGGGACTGACCGTATACGTCATTTAAATGTTCGAGACATGACAAATAGGAATATATATGGTTTAGGGGTGGGGATCTCAACCATTTACAAGATATTAGAACTTTCTCAAAATGGCAGGGGGTCAGGATGACCCCTGGGGACTAACCCTGTACATCATTCAAACCATCTTAGCATGACAAACCAGAATATATATGGTTTAGGGGTGGGGATCTTGACCACTTAGAAGATATAAGAACTTTCTGAAATGGCAGGGGGTGGGGGTGACCCCTGGGGACTAACCCTGTATTTCATTTGATGTGCTTTATCTGGACAAACCAGAATATATATGGTTTAGGGGTGGGGATCTCGGCCATTTACAAGATATTAGAACTTTCTCAAATGGCAGGGGGTCGGGATGACCCCTGGGGACTAACCCTGTATATCATTCAAACCATCTTAGCATGACAAACCAGAATATATATGGTTTAGGGGTGGGGATCTTGACCACTTACAAGATATTAGAACTTTCTTAAATGGCAGGGGGTGGGGGTGACCCCTGGGGACTAACCCTGTATTTCATTTGATGTGCTTTATCATGACAAACCAGAATATATATGGTTTAGGGGTGGGGATCTCGACCATTTACAAGATATTAGTACTATCCCAAATGGCAGGGGGTCGGGATGACCCCTGGGGACTAACCCTGTATATCATTCAAACCATCTTAGCATGACAAACCAGAATATATATGGTTTAGGGGTGGGGATCTTGACCACTTACAAGATATTAGAACTTTCTTAAATGGCAGGGGGTGGGGTGACCCCTGGGGACTAACCCTGTATAACATTTAATGTGCTTTATCATGACAAACACGAACATATATGGTTTAGGGGTGGGGATCTCGACCACTTACAAGATATTAGAACTTTCTCAAATGGCAGGGGGTCGGGATGACCCCTGGGGACTAACCCTGTATATCATTCAAACCATCTTAGCATGACAAACCAGAATATATATGGTTTAGGGGTGGGGATCTTGACCACTTACAAGATATTAGAACTTTCTTAAATGGCAGGGGGTGGGGGTGACCCCTGGGGACTAACCCTGTATAACATTTGATGTGTTTTATGATGACAAACCAGAATATATATGGTTTAGGGGTGGGGATCTCGACCACTTACAAGATATTAGAACTTTCTCAAATGGCAGGGGGTCGGGATGACCCCTGGGGACTAACCCTGTATATCATTCAAACCATCTTAGCATGACAAACCAGAATATATATGGTTTAGGGGTGGGGATCTTGACCACTTACAAGGTATTAGAACTTTCTTAAATGGCAGGGGGTGGGGGTGACCCCTGGGGACTAACCCTGTATAACATTTGATGTGTTTTATGATGACAAACCAGAATATATATGGTTTAGGGGTGGGGATCTCGACCATTTACAAGATATTAGAACTTTCTCAAATGGCAGGGGGTCGGGATGACCCCTGGGGACTAACCCTGTATATCATTCAAACCATCTTAGCATGACAAACCAGAATATATATGGTTTAGGGGTGGGGATCTTGACCACTTACAAGGTATTAGAACTTTCTTAAATGGCAGGGGGTGGGGGTGACCCCTGGGGACTAACCCTGTATTTCATTTAATGGGCTTTATCATTTAGAACATTTTCAATTAAAAAGATTGTGTCTATCACAAACGGTTTTCAATTTATAATCATTTGAAAATTTTAAAAAATAAAATCCCATAGGGTTCTATAGTAAAACCCTCTTTTCTTTTTGCCCCTCAAAGTACCCCTTTATAAACCCCATTGCACAAACAAAACCCTGATTGCACCACTAGACATGTTAGTCTAACATATTGTGAAACCCTAAGTTAATCTGACAAGCGGTTTTTGAGAACAGGTGCGGACAAGTTCAAATTTAAAAGCGGCGGAAGAAGAAGAAGAAGAAGAAGAAGAAGAAGAATAATAATAATAATAACTGAGCAAAAACAATAAGTCTTCCCAAACTTCGTTTGGGAGACTTAATAATAAGAACTGAGCAAAAACAATAAGTCTTCCCAAACTTCGTTTGGGAGACTTAAATATCAGGCAAGAATTGTACATGTGCAAGTGCTTACAATACAAATTACTATAGAATTTACATTTCTAAGGTAAACAACTCCTGACAATAGACATTATGATATTAACCTTCCATATAAATTTCATAACTATCCTTCAAGAAATGTAGGCTTGAGAGTTCTAAAACGCAATTTTCCATATAATTCATATTTCCAATTGGCACATAACTCTCTTGAAAATAGTTGATTGGCATTGATTTTCGAAATTGTCGGAGACATTGCTGATATAACCCTTTGATATAAATTTGATAAAAATCTGGCAAGAATTGAACATGTGAGCATGCTTACTATGCCATTTTTCATATAATTCATATTTCTAAGGAGCATAACTCTTATAATCAAATTGATGGAAATAACTCATGGAAAGATTGGAAGAGTAGTTTGAATAATTTAGGTATGGTGTGGACAAAATAGAACATTAATAAAGCACTATTGCTGACAATTGTATTAACCGCAGGTCTTTAGAAGGAAAAGCACTTTTCCAGATGATAAAATGAGCTAAATGTGAATCAAATTGAATTTCGTTTAAACTGCAGTTAATATCTTAACCAAATAATGTTCCCGGAAACATGTTCAAAAAAAAAATGTGAATCAAAGATTCTTCTAATATTGAGTTTACCAAGTATCCTTGTAAGACATAGGACCGACAGATAGACTTGAAACTAAGAATTTTATTGTGTTAAAAAATAATCTAAAAGTTTTTTTTGGGGCATTTTGTAAGTTGAAACATAGGTATACTATTTTTCTCCTCTGAGAATTGCTTATTGATTTTGAAAACAATTATCATAATTATATGACATTGAAGATTAAAATTGTAGAGTGTATTTTAATCAATTTATAATTTAAATATCTTTCAGCAAAGGGCATTGAAAATGTACTTTTTCAACATAAACAAATTAAAAAACTTATTTGTTGAAATGTGGATTCTTTCTTGATTGCAAAAATATATATACACTTCTTATATTCAAATGACAAAAATTGATAACAGACATTTGATTGAGAATAAACTAAAGAAAAAATGGTTTGTTCTTATTAAGAGTTTTATAAATTAAATAACTGTTTCAAGCCAATCACTGATAAAAAAATAAGCAAACTAACCTAAATTGTTGATTAATTACAGATGATTCTTGCAGATTTATCAAGTAAATTATAGGCCTTACTTGAATACCTTTTATATATTTATATTTAGATTTCATTTTTTTTTTTGAAAAAAAGATCTTGTTAATCCTTAATTAATCATTTGTCTTTCAGACAAAATTTACACAATCACTTTTGTACTGTAGATCAAAAGTAATACACTGTAACAGGCAATGAATAAATCTATCATCTATATATATCAAACATATCTAATATATGCATTTGTGTATTCAATTATGAGGTCAAATATTTGTGTATTGAGATGTTTATTGAAGGGTCTGTATAATTATGTAAGACTGAGGTTGATTACTAATGTGGTCAATATGATTGGCATTTAAGGAGGTGGGGCATTGTAATTAAGGCCCCACCTTGTCTCTGATTGTTTGGTGATCATGACAGTTGTCAATTATACTAGTATTGTATCATTACTCAATTACCTAATCAAAATGACAAAAAAGCCTGGACATCAACACACCTTAAAGACATACATACTTGAATGAACTGCTCCAAAAATATAACTCAAATTTTTTACAGTTCATATGTGCATATGTGCACAGATATGAGAACTATAGGGAACTATATTTCAGTGTGTATACATTTTATAGATTTAGTAGCTAACCTGTGCTTAGTTACTTGTTGTTAGGGAGGCCGGTGCCTTAGGAAAGATTTAGAACAAGTTCCAATCTTTCCAAAAACAATTGATCTGCACTGTATTTGGACATGCTGATTCAAACCTTTGATATAAATTTCATAAAATTCTGGCAATTGTACACAGGAGAGCCCTTACATTGCAATTTTCCATATAATAAATGTTTCCAAGGGCATAACTCTTTGAACATTGATCTGTACCTATTTTCGAACTTGTCAGAAACATTGCTGATATTAACCAATGATACAAATTTGATAAAAATCTGGCAAGATCAGTGGCAGTAAGATTTAAGGAATTAAATCTTTAGTTTTCCTTTTATTAGGCCTAAAAAAAAAATATTTGTGTTTCCGGTAAATCATTTTGAAAAATAGGGTTGGTAGGTCGGATTTTTTTTTTTTTTTTTTTTTTTTTTTTTTTGACATTGTAAACGAAATCCGGAAAATTATCATGGTTTTTCCGGGTCCGTAATTAGTTTCAAATACCGGAAGTGCGGCCATTTGCAATGTTTTTGAAGCACCTGCGGTGCAAATTTCTTTGATTTTAACCTATTTGGAATACCTTTTGACATAAATAAAATGTTTTACTGGCTTTCTGTGCCAGTAGAAGCAAGTTAGATAAATAATTATGTCGATTAACAGAAGCCTGTGTCAAAAACAGTGTCAATTGATACCTTTTTTTTTGAAGATCCAATAAAAAAATTAGGGTCGGGGCTAAAAAACAGGGTCGGTCGGGTTACCGGAAACACAGATTTTTTTTTTCTCGGCCTTAATTGAATTGCTTTTAATAATAATATTAATATAATTATTATTTCCTCAAGCTGTTTATTCATTCATTCTCGTTAAACAACACTTGGCAAAGGCATTTTGCACAGCGAAAATTAACTATTGAAATATTAAAACTATTGTTGAAATACAGATTGAGAACAATCTCTACACTGATGGCAGCAGACTTAGTTTCTTGTTTTAAGAAAATTTTAAGAATCTACAATAAAAAAATCAACAATAATAAAAATTAATCAACAGCTTAAAAACATACCGGTACCATTAATCACATTGCCATTTTCTTCAAAATTACTGAAATCTATTCCTTCTGATTCATTTTCATTCCTAGAATACATGAAAGTAAAAACATGAAAATGCATAAAATTTTTAATGTCAGTCATTAAAAGTGCCCTTCAAATTTTTTTTTTTTTTTTTGGCATAGTGTTAACTAAAGATCCTGAGGGGAAACACAAAAATATTTTTCAGTATCCAAGCTACTTTCACTCAGGAAGCAGTTGAAATGAAGCTTTTCATCCATGAATAAGGGTAATAAAAATTGGCTAATTTTAAAATATACAGATTCAAATATATATATATATATATATGTATGTATGTGTCCAGCACATGTGTTTGGAAAAAAATATATATTGTAACTATGTCCCTAAGCTTTAAATAAAAACATACCAAAAATTTCTGGTATTCATGCTTTACTTTTCATATAAAATAATTACTAGTTTTAGTTTTAGTGACTCACTACATAAATTCGAACTCTGTCTACAAGTTTTGGTTCTTAGCATTGTGTATGAATTTCATAAAATTTGGATGAGGAAAATTTAAGGTAGCGTGCTCAAACAATAAACTGCTTCGCTGAGCGCAGCTGGATACGCCCACAAAGGTCCAACCCTGAACAGTTGGGACAAAAATGGACACAATATTCAAGCTTGATACAGGTCTGAATTTGGATTGTATTAAATATTTAACATATTATAGGTTTCTGAATAAATGTAGTCAAAGAACTTGAAATTGGTTATATGAATTGAATTTATATTCAATTAAAGATTTCTTGCTGTTGTGCAATACACTGTGCTGTTGCGCAATACTTAGTAAATCTGTTGTCAGACTATAAACAATTAAAGTTCAATTAATTCTCAATGTCATATTAAAAATTTATGAAAATGTAAAGGGAGCTTACATCAATAGATATAAATAATTCACTAAAGTTTTTTGAGAATTTCTGACAGCATTTTTGAGTTATTGTCCAAAAACTTGAAAATCCCCCCTTTTTTAACGAATAAAACCCCATAACTCAGAAATGTAAAATATAAAATTTATAAAATTGTAAACGGAGCTTACATCAATAGATATAAACAATTCACCAAAGTTTCATAAGAACTGCTGAAAGCATTTTTGATTTTTAGTCTGAAAACTGAAAAATCCCCCTTTTTTTTATGAATAAAACCCTGTAACTCGGAAATGTAAAATCTAAAATATATAAAAATCAAAAGGGAGCTCTTGTCAATAGATATAAACAATTCACCACAATTTCTTGCAAGTTGGTGATAGCATTCTCGAGTTATTGTCCGAAAACTGGAAAATCCCCCTTTTTTTAATGAATAAAACCCCATAACTCGGAAACGTAAAATCTAAAATTTATAAAAAACGAAAGGGTGCTCACGTCAATAGATATAAACAATTCACTAAAGTTTCATGCAAATTGGTTAAAGCGTTTTTGAGTTAATGTCCGACATGTTGACGACGGACGGACGGACAGACAGACGGACGGACAACGGTATACCATAATACGTCCCGTAAACGGGCGTATAAAAATGGGACAGACGGAAGGACAGTATGAAAGATGAAAAGACGGACAGAAGGACAGTCAAGGGTAACACTTAATGCCCTTATTACCTAAGTCAGGGGCATAAAAATGTAAAAATTTCAATAACATTTGACATTTTAAGGCTCTCTTTACAATAAACTCATAACATTATGTCTTCTTAAAATGGAGCAAAAACATAAAACAAAGTGTAGTGGTGAAATGATGTGCACAACTACAAAATCTATACTATTAAATGAGAAGACCTCATTTTGTGTGTCGCTTCTCTTCTTTCCACAATAAATTAAACATCATGCCTCTGTGTCCTATAGGTACAATGCATAGTCGCATTTATCATCCTTGCTTATGATTATTCAGTTTTGGTTATTTTGGGAGAAAAATAAAAATAAAGGCGTCCGGATATGGTTTCCATCATCGGACTGACTTTTGAGTCGTATAAAAGACTTCCGTTTAGGACTGATTCAAATTTACACATAATTTTCATAAGTACTTGAGGACAGGACAATTATTTTCGCGTTTTTCTGTTTACTATGATCATACATATACTATAAATAAAGTGTATTTGCTATTTACTATCAATTCCAATAGTTTATTATCCACGGCGGTCACTAATATATTATTTATCAGTGACCGTTTATAGTATTTAAAGTATATGTATGTTCATAGTATACAGAAAAACAGAAAACAAAAAATATTGGTCTTTGGGAAAAAAGGGGGAGGGCTTAAAAAATATTGCCCTGTCCCCAAGTACCTATGACTTTTGATACCTTTCCTGAAATTCTCCAGTTATAAATCTTTTTTTTTGAAATGCCCGCGATTTCGCGGGTGTGTTCTAGTTAAGTTATAAATGTTGAATAATGCCAACTAGGTCTTGACCTAGTTCCATGATTAAAAGTCAGATATTACAAGCATTCTGAGAGTATTGCATGGCAATACATAGTCCCCTACCAGCTAAAAATTCATTGTACTGGAACAAAATGCTTACTTGATCTATAACTTGTCATGGTGTACTATATAACAAATATCAAGTCAATATCTTCAAGCATGACAAAAAAAGTGTGGAAAACTGATTATTTAGGTGAATTTTCTAAAAAAACAAACTCTCTAAAAGTCTTATTGAAGCATTCATCCTTTTGATTATTGATGAATAGCTTGGGTTGATTGTCCAACTGCTGATATCTCCTGGACAAATGCTGATATTTGTATTTTTATCCCCCAAGTTACAATTCATTTTAGAAATGATTGATCTGTCATTGACTGCATGAGTTTCTCTGCATTGAGAATTGCAATATTGAAAAATGCAAGACATTAAATTAGCATTTGGTGGCAATGGCTGGAATACTGTACTAATTTTTTTATATAAATGTCTGATAAAAGTTAAATTCAAAATGATCAAAATGTCTATCAGTTAAAAACATAATTTCTTCTATTGTTTTGGGCATTTCACGAGTTGACACACATTTGTGTGTTAACCTAACTACTACAGAAATCATTGAAATTGAAAATTAAAAATATTTTCGATGAACATTATACATGATCATGATATAGTTTTAAAAAAATTGAATATAGTTGGTCTTATAGATTGGTATGAATATTGCCCATTTCAATTTTGAAGATTATAAAATGACCAACCACTGTTTCTGTGACAACAAATAAAATATCTCGGAAAGTAAAGCAAAAATAGGCTGAAGAGTTCACTTATATTGCAAGTGAAAAATCTCATTATTTCAAAAGGAACAGCTCCTTAACCTTTTGTCCAATATAGAAAGTAGGAATGTTGTATGAAATTGGTGTAGATAACACTAATACAACAATTTACACAGATGTACAAACAAGAAGTAGATGTGGGACAGTTATGACAATAACAGTGTAGCTAACCTAAATGAAGCTCATATCCAAAAACAAAGATACAGCAGTTTTTAGTTTCTGAAAATAAATGACTATTTCTTCTTTTTTAAATTTTGTATGTACATTACATTTCATTTATATTATGTTATACATGTAGGTATGATATGTACGTGTCTTGAAGTTCCTAACTTGAGGCTTAAAGTTATCTGAGCTCGAGTGTGTTGCTCACAAGTAATTTTTGAAAAATTCTGACTAATGAATATGTCAATTTAAAAAAATTTAGCATGGCTTAAAACAGCACATTGTAATAATTGAAAAGTCAGTTAAAGAATGTTAGACCCTATCTCATAGAAAATCAATCTTATCATCTGGAATTAAAACAACCACTTTACCATTTTGACACTGTGAAAAGGATATTACCCTAAAATGATAATATTGAACTGAATTAATTACATTTAGACAAATATCAACAAGGCATTTTGTAATATACATCTCATAAACAATTTAAAGATTATTACAACACAGGACTTATCAAGATCTATACCAAATGTATATATGCTTGTTGACCTGTTGGTGACCTTCTGCTGTTGTCTGTTCTATGGTCGGGTTGTTGTCTCTTTGACACATTCCCCATTTCCATTCTCAATTTTATCTATCACACAATGAAGTATTTTTTAATTTCTAAGAGTTATTGCATTCTTTTATTTCTGCATGATTCTTTATTGACTTTGTCAAAATAACAATGCTTACTTGAAATGTGTTATCTCTTTACATGTAAAACTTCTTTCATCTTGTGGTACACACTTGTAGTCTGAAATAAAATACAACTGTGTTAAACTTTATTAATTTCCAAATGGAAGATTTTGAAACTTAGGGATTTTCTAAACTCTGAGAAATTCATGAAAAGTTTTAATTCATAGAGTAAGGACAAGATCTTGGAAAATATCCTCCTTAGCAGACCTTGTTGTGTAGCACCAAAGCCATCTACATAATCCACAAAGGTTAAACTGCCCATACTGGTAAATAAAAAAATGTTTAGACCAGTATTTTTTTAAATATTCTTCTTTTGACAAACATATATAAACTATTTTAATAATTTAAATAGCATTTTTAAAAGTCAAACAGAACTTTTCATACATCTTTGTTAAACATGTCAACAAAATGACAGAGATGGTAATATTGCAATATTTTCCTTTAAAAAAACAGATAGTATTTTTCATTCATTTTTAACAGAAACTTATTACTTTAGTATCCATATCTGTTTCATGAAAGGTTCTTTTTGATATACCTGACGAGAGTTTCAGTCCATTGTTACATTTTTTGATGAGACAGGTGCAGTCCTCTTGAACTGGATCACAAGAACATGGATCAGAACGGTTTGTAGAAACAAATGCATAGTTCTTTGTATAGTCACATCTACATTTTCTGTCTGCAGTTGTACTACCATTGCTGTATATAACTTGCCCTTCCTCATTGCATGGTGTTTTTTGGAGGATACAGTTAGTTCCCTGAGTTGAAGAAAATGGTCTTGATTGGTACCGTTCATCTGAACAATCCACAGTATCAAAATTACCTAAGTTGATTACGGACTTTTCTCCTAGAAAAAATCATTAAAAATAAGCATATATACATTTGGTATAGATCTTGATAAGTCCTGTGTTGTAATAATCTTTAAATTGTTTCTGTATTTTATAGTGTGATTGAAAGGGAAGTTATGACAGTACTTTTAAAAAAAAATATTCATGCGATTATCTGTCATTGTTTTAGGACTAAAAAGCCAGAATCCTTTAATTTCAAACTGTCATATTTATACTGGATGTTACAACATAAACAAACTTTCATCAACAATATTGTTGTAAGATCTTCATAAAAATTTTGTACCTGTTTTTGTAAAAGCATTGAGGAATAATATGTGAATTGCAACAGTTGTAAACAGGAATGAACGTCTATGATTAATAACACTTATAACTTTCATTTTGAGAAACCAGAAGTTTTCAAGCTGATTATAAGTTACAAAAGAAATCTGACTTTTGACACACTTTTCTTTTGGCTATCAAATGACATTAAATCAATGTTTTCATGAATCATACTTTTAAAAGTAATCTAATATGAATAATAATAGTTTTATTCATGTATTCAGCATTAAAATAGTTCACATTTTACAATTAAGCTTCTAATCTTGTACTTGTCAAAATAGATGGGGACACTTGCATGCATGCATGATGTGTAATGAATATTAGTATTTTTACTTAACCTAAAAGTTTCTATTGAAATTGCATAAAAGCTTTAATATTTAAATCTAAATTATCGATAGTTTTGGCTTGTATTATTAGGTACTATTATGTCTTTGATCTCATTAATGGCTTTATTAATTGTTTTTGGTGGTCTGATTATGAAAATTACAATTTTGTAAACTAAAAGTAACCTATAACTTCATAAAGACTCTTTGAAGTGTTGTTGTCAATTTTAATTATATAAGTAACCTAGTCAGCTTGGAATGAGCTAAACAATGCAAGTACGAATGTAAGACATGCAAGACATGAAAGGGAATTTATCTTAGCATGCAGCTTGGCCCTTTTGATCCCAAGTGTGTCTTGACAAATTCTAGCACAGAATTCCCTCAAACAGATGCTTTTGGTCTTGAACTTGGAGTGAAGTGAAAGTTTTTACTTCATGTTGAAGACCTTGTGCTGACTTTAAGAAAAAGAACAGCTATAAAAGTACTGGTAAATTGGAATGTTTTATAGAAATCTAAGTTCATGCTGATATAAGATATTCCTTTGGCAGATATGTCAAAATTAATGTTTAAGTATGGGAAACTCAAAAAATCATTTGGATCAAAAATCAAAATAGGAGGCGCACTATGCCATTAGATTCTAAATATCTTGTGCAAGATTGAAATAATAAAATCTAAAATTTATAAAAATCGAAAGGGAGCTTACGTCAATAGATATAAACAATGCACCAAAGTTTCATGAGAACTGCTGAAAGCATTTTTGAGTTATTGTCTGAAAACTGGAAAATCCTCCTTTTTTAATGAATAAAACCCCACAACCTCGGAAACGTAAAATCTAAAATTTATAAAAATCTAAAGGGAGCTCATGTCAATAGATATAAACAATTCACCAAAGTTTATTGCAAATTGGTGAAAGCATTTTTGAGTTATTGTCCGAAAACTGGAAAATCCCCCTTTTTTTAATGAATAAAACCCCATTACTCGGAAACGTAAAATCTAAAGTTTATAAAAAACGAAAGGGAGCTCATGTCAATAGATATAAACGATTCACCAAAGTTTTATACAAATTGGTTGAAGCATTTTTGAGTTAATGTCCGACATGTTGACGATGGAGGGATGGACGGACAACAGTATACCATAATACGTCCCGAAACGGGCGTATAAAAATCCATCACTATCAGTGGTCTCGTTAGCCCAAAATAGAAGGGCGCCGCGCCCTGGGTGCCTTCATCCGCGCCCTTTTGCCCTAAAGCCTTTTTCTCAAAAACCCTTGTGCCGTTTTGGTAAAATTGCCTTTTGTTTCATCGATTTCTTATCACAAAGTTAAATTACATATATGACACCAGGTGATTGCCCCCAGGTTAATCATGTCATTACAATCAATTACAGTGGATAAGACTTCAAAGGTGCTAATAACTAGGTAATTTAATTAAGACAATGTACCTTTTTGTCATAAATTTGATGAATGTGTCAGCGAGTGTTTTTAGCTTGGGTCGGCATTTTCAATCTCCAAGAAGAGTGTATAAATGAAGACTTTCATGACTTTAGAATAGAATTTAAGTCATCAAAATATGATGATAAACTATGCCTTCACAGAAACGCCGTCCATCTCAACTTGTGAGCGACAAGCAAACAGTAAACATGTTCGAAATTAATTTTGGAGTTACTTCCCCTGTTTTAGCTTATTACAAATGTGTGCTCCTAAAATATTATCTAGTATTAAACATAGGAATAAATAACCAATTGAATACAAAATTATATAAGAATGTTATCTTAAGGATATTAACTGTCTTTGAACATACCAAAAAAAAATTATTGCAATTTATTTTGAATAATCATACTTTTAGCAATCCATGTTCTATATATTGTCAATTAAGAAATTTATCAGTTCAATTGTTATAATGATGTTAAGCTGCAATCCTACATAAATGGGTAGTGTGAAGTTAAACTATCATGACATCAACTTGATGAAGCTTTACTAAATAATTCCTTAACACAAACAATGAAAAAAAGTTTTGAGGGCCGAACTGTAGCTGAAAATTTTGAAATAAGACAACTCTGTCACATGTATGCTAAATTATGAGATGTTTAGTTTATGTTGTTTTTTTTTGGAAAAGGGGGGGGGAGAATAGTAAGTTAATTTGCCTCTATTGGTTTATAGTGATGTGATGTATGAATGTGTATTGACATGTTTTTTGAACATGTCGAATGAATTACATTTTCTAATGCAAATTTTATAGAATAAATAATCAAAACAACAACTTATGCATCTTTATTAACAACATATACAGTAAAAAAAAGAATGTGAACTCGTGATACACACAGAAACGTAGACAAAAGAAATGAGCAGTGCCTTTTCCTTTCATAAAAAAGTGCCCTGCCCTCCACTGGCACCCTGCCCCTTTTGATTTCTAGCTGGAGCACTGACTATGATTTGGAGATTAGAAAAGATGAATGGACGAAACCAACAAATGAAAAAAGTTACTATATACCTCTGCTTTAATAATTCGGTAAATTCAGAAATTATTGCAAGCATTTATTATTGCGATTTTGTCATTTTAGACCAAAATGCAATTATAATTTTTTGCGATACTGAGAAAATCCCGCTTCATTCATATAAAAAAATCCAAAATGCAAGTTTAAATTATTGCAATTAAAACCCTGTCACATTTTTCACAATAACAAAAACATTGCAATAATTTACGAATTTTCAGTAAGTCCTATCAGAAGGGTATCTCTATATGATACAGCTTATCTGACATTATATTATACTTCTTTAAAACATACCTGGTGGTTTTTTTGATGGTCCTTTGCAGTTTTCTGAGTAATTCTTGTTTACTGAATCATATAAACAAGTGTAACTGGCAACTGCTGGGCATTTCACAGAAGCAGTCAAATACAAATTATGTGCATAAGGACAGGTAATGTTGAAAAAAGATGATACTGCATGTAGAAACTGAAAAAGATAATAAATAAATAGTGCACATCATAAGTGTATCATACCAATAATGCATATCATAAGTGTATCATATGAATTGTTTTGACAATAGTGAACAAGAGTAGTGTGATCAATGGTGCCCCTACCCTTCTCTGCACTAATTGCACTTAAAAATGATAAAAGTGACTTAACATGACCTTTATTATAAAGTTAGTATACAGGTTTGATTGTTTTATTATTTGAATGACATTTGATACTGTTCAAACTTTACATATATTACTTATTATTTTGAACACCAAAATTTATATGATTTTGTAATACTTCATCTTTTTCACTAGAAATACGACCAATTCTGCATCTGCTTCTTTCATAAGACTAAGCTTGATGTAATATCAATAGGATGACTCCATAATTGATGCAAGTTCTTACCTATTTTTACTTTCTTTCTACTATTTTTTCAATTTGCCCTACTTTCATGACTATAGTTTATTATTAAAATTTTGCATTTAAGCTGTTAAAGTTCACAATAAATATAATGTATCTTACAAGCACATAAAAGATGATAACGACTACTGCCATAATTGTCTAAGAACTTCATATTTCGTTCTTCTTCATATCTGAAAAGAAACTTTAACAGTAATGATAAAAGTAGAAAAACTATAAACATGATTATCGCTATTTTGTGTATTTTTTCTTTTCTTTTTTTTTTTTGTGATAAATTTTCATATCATGTTTCTCGCTGGAGATAGGGAATTATCGTCAGAAACTAAGGGTGCACGTGACGTTGTCCATGTAAATATCAACAACGTCATAGGCAAAATAGCAATAAACAGATTATCAATGGGCTTTCAAACTCAAGGATGTTTCTCAGCCACATCCAATCTCAGGGCTATCGGCCTTCAATGAGATTGTAGCTGAGAAACACCCTCTAGTTTAAAAAACCATCCATAATCTATATTTGACATGATCAAAGAATAGGTAGTTATACAGGACAAACACATGGCTGTAACATGTGTAAACCCATCCCTTTATTTTAACCGTTTAAGGATGTTTGTTACCCTGCATGCCCTGTTTCATAATTTTTTTTCAAGGAATGTTATTAATTGATATTATATATATATATATATATAACTCGTCTCAAATTTAGTCCAACAATGTTAGACCTTTCAAATTTGCGTTAGAAAATTTTTTGTTCTTCCCTCAGCGAGATTCGAATCCTTGCTTCTGTGACATCGTGGCAACACCGCCTGCACCATGTCCAGCGCCCTAGGTGGTCGAGTGGTCTAGGGAGCTGGGCACTGTGCAGGTGGTGTTGCCCGGATGTCACAGAAGCAAGGGTTCAATCCCTCTGAGGGAAGAACAAAAATTTGCTAACGCAAATTTGAAGATCTAAAATTGTTTTGCTAAATTTGAGACTGTTATATATATTATGGTGTTAGCCCTGTATAACCATGTGTTATCCGATGGAGAATGTCTGTCATAAACTTGTCACATGTTTAGACGTGTATATATATATATATATATATACAAGTCTAAATTGAAAACAACGTTCAAACCTATGATTGCGTTGGATAAAAACCGCAACTTTTATACGTGTGCATGCAAAACAAATTTCTTTGTAGAGGGGTCTAAATACAGCGCAAACAACATTTTCCAAAAGACCAAAAAAGTGAAAAAGTATATTTTAACAAAACGCATTTGACTAGCAGGTCGAACAACGGATGTTCTTAAACCCTGCTGACTGCCATGGCGATTGCCAAATAAACGGATCACAGATGTAACACAATGGATCTTAATTATTAATTTAATACCAAACAGAAAACAATAAACTTGCGGAAAAGATGGTATACCGCAAACATGAGGTGCAAAAATTTATACACCATATCCGGATTTCGACAATTAATGTCTCTTCAGTGATGTTAGGAATCGAATATATATATATATCATATAGCCTTGTTGGTAGAGTGGTCTGGGCAGCTGGACACAGTGCAGGCGGTTTTGCCACGATGTCTAAGATGCAGGGGTTCAAATCCCGCTGAGCCTGAGGAAATGTTTACACAAATTTGCAGATCTAACATTGTTGGGCTTAATTTTAGATGAAGTATTCAACTGATTTTTATAGTTTGTTCTTATGTTGTACAGTTACACCACTGTTCCAGGTTAGGGGAGGGTTGGCGCCTTCAAATTTGTTTAACCCCGCCACATTCTATATGTGCCTGTCCCAAGTCAGGAGCCTGTAATTGAGGGGTTGTTGTTTTTTGCTGTTTCTCATATTTGTTTTTCATTTATTGTTTTGCATAGTTTGTTCTTATGTTGTGCCGTTATACCACTGTCCCAGTTTAGGGGGAGGGTTTGGCACCAAACAAACTAGTTTAACCCTGCCACATTCTATATGTGCCTGTCCCAAGTCAGGAGCCTTTAATTCAGTGGTTGTCGTTTGTTGCTTTATATCATATTTGTTTTTCGTTTATTATTTTGTACATAAATCAGGCCGTTAGTTTTCTCGTTTGAATTGTTTTACATTTGTCATTTCGGGGCCTTTTATAGCTGACTATGCAGTATGGGTTTTACTCATTGTTGAAGGCCGTATGGTGACCTATAGTTGTACATGTCTACATGTCATTTGGTCTCTTTTGGAGAGGTGTCTCATTGGCAATCATACCAATTCTTCTTATTTATATATATATATATATATATATATATATATATATATATATATATATATATATATATATATTCCAGATCATACATGCCATATGTGTATTTGGACCATACATGTATGGTTATGACCATATGTGTATATATACTCATATGGTCAGACAATATGTGTATGGTCTGCATTATTAACATGAGCATAATGATGAACGTTGAAACGGTGTCTCATTAATTAGAGTTTCTAAAAATGAAATTTTGACTTATTCAATCATATGGTAATTATTGTTACATGATTTATGCTAAAATGTGAATTCTACTTACAATAATCATAGTAAAATAATTTTTACATGCTCATTATTGATTAGTCATTATTGATTTGTCCTTACGAAACGAAATATGTCCACTTTGTCTTTGAAAATTAACTTCAAGATATATTTCAATAAACTACTTAGCAAGAAGTCAATTGCTTTTAAACCTCACAGGAACTTTGGCCTTTGAACCAACTCTTTTTTCTTCTTTTTTTTTAAATTATTTTGGTGTTTAAATTTGTTTTTATTAAATTGAAATTTTTGAATATTTCTAATTGTTTTCAGTAAAATAATGTGCTCTTGCTCATATTCATTACATCTTACAGTGACAGTAAGATCATATGAAGAGGAGCAAGAACACATTAAACGAAAATAAGTAGAAATAAGAAGAATATTGTTTCTTAAATAATCATTAAAACAATAAGAAAAAAAGTACACTTACGGACGAAAAAGTAGAGAATAAAGGCTATTTAAATTGATTCTATATATAGCAAAGCTAATATAACAGATACAACAAGATTCAGACAGTACGCAAAATTAAAGATAAAGGAATTCAGTTTGCAAATTGTGCCCTTTTGCTTTCAGAGAATGAGCTCTGTGTATTTGCGAAGAAAGTTAGAACTTATTCAATAAATACCTAATGTAACCTAAATGGTCTAAATACTCATATGGTTCAGCCCGTTAATAACCAAATGAGTATAATACTCATATGGTCCGGAACATATTTATATATATATATATATAGCGTGCCTAGAAAATCAACTTAACAATGTTAGAGTAGATCTAATTCTTTATTACTTTCTCCCCGACCGGGGATGCATGGAACCTGACTTGTAGAAGTCACTTTTTGTTTAAAAATGATGGGAGGTAACTTATGACACCAAATATTCTGACTTTCATAAGTAAAGTCAGAATATTATGACTTGTTTATATCAGAGCTCTGACTGATCTTCAATCATTGTCTTGATGACAGGGTCATCTCTCATGTAAATTATCTTCTCTTGTAAAATGATAATCTCCATTGTAGTTTCTCCTTACTACTTAAATATTGAAAAACATTTACTAAGAAATAAAAAAAAGTAAAAATTGTATATAAATAACAGAAATGATAAGAAAAAAAACAACAAAAAGATTACCTATTAAATCATCTACTAAAATGGATCGTTTCCTCTATGTACTCAGCTAAAACTTGAATGATAATCTCTGCATTTGGCAGATCGATTGATAATAAATTGTCTAAATTTGTTGGAATTTGACCGGTTATATGAAGTAAATTTGATGAAATAATTTGTCTCTGGCTTCGGAATTTAGTTCACACTCAAAAAGGTAGTGTTGAACATCTTCTTGTTTACAGGTTTCACAGATTTCAGAGGTGATGTGTTGATTTATTATAAACTGGTATGCATTTCGTTTTGAATAACTTGTTCTTAAACTGTTGATAAGGTTGAACAATTTTTTTGATGGGAAGTCTTTTTTTATTTTATTTTTAACTTCAGGGTGAAATCTAAAATAATGACGTCGGAATTGCTGTTTTCCCATCTTCTATTGCCAAGGTGTCTGGCAGCTTCATTGATTCCTCTTATGTTGGCATGTCCTGGAGTCCAGTTGAAATTTATCAAAATTCTGTGTTCATTTAAAAATTTTATTTTTCCTTTGATTTCATTAATGGTTTGATGGTAATTGTCACTTTTCCAATTAACAGATAAGATACCAAATTGCAGTTTGACTGTCCGAAAAATAGATAAAGTTTCAATAAGAGATTCTGAAAAAGTTTCGATATAATCAAGTACAATTGTTATTGCTACATGTATATTTATAAGTTCAGCAAGCAAGAGTGATCCTTTGTTAGATTTATACAGGTTTTTTTAATTTTTCTTCTTGATTATTTATGAAATTTATAGATCCAGCAAAACATGGGCCTGGATTTCCAAAACACGACCAATCTGTAAAAGCGACTGCAAAATTCAATGTTTGAGATTTGAGTTGTTCAGATATAATATTCTTTCCTTCTTCAATGGGCTGTTGTTCTGGATTTTGAACTGCCAATATTTCTCCAGTAATCAGGGGCTCTAACAACTGATACAAGATCTTGTTATTCATATTGTGGTTCTATCTTGTTTATATCATGTTATATCAACCATGTCAACCATTTCTGTATTTTTCATCATGTCCTTTGTTTGTTGATACATTTTGCCCGATGGTGAAATATATTTACCTGACTGTTCTTCCTGTTTCCAAATTTTCTTTCAATTGGCATTTGAGATATTTGCCGGTCGACAAATATGTAATTTTACATATTGTCTTATCAATACAACTAGCCCAAATAATTATGACGTCTTGCAAGGCTATTTTAATTTTTTCTGTGATGCCGTCGTAGGAAGGCGTCACAAAAAAAATTAAAATAGCCTTGCAAGACGTCATAATTATTTGGACTACAATCACAGGGGTTTGTTACAAATTGCCGGGTTTACTATCCATACGGACCCCGAAAAAAATCACATGATTTTTTTCGGGTGTTGGTATGGATAGTAAACCTGGCAAATTGTAACAAACTTGTAACAAACAGTAACAAGACATTTCAGCACCCAGACAAATCGGCACCCAGGTACAAAGACATATCGGCATCCGTTTTGGACATTTCGGGATCAGGACATTTCAGGACCAAGACAATTCGGAACCTCATTTTTTTTCTATATATATATAATTAGAAAAATAAAAGAATTGTTACAGTAATATTAAAATCCGTAAATAAAATATGCAATACAGAATTTGAATAAACTGCTTCGCTGAGCGCAGCTAGATACGCCCCATAGGTCCAACACTGAACAGTTAGGGCAAAAATGGACACAATATTCAAGCTTGATTCAGGTCTGAATTTGGATTGTAATTAAATATTTGACATATTATAGGTTTCTGAATAAATGTATTCAAAGAACTTGAAATTGGTTATATGAATTGAATTTATATTCAATTAAAGATTTCTTGCTGTTGTGCAATACTTAGTAAATCTGTTGTCAGACTATAAACAAATAAAGTTCAATTAATTATCAATGTCATATTAGAAATTTATGAAAATAAAAAGGGAGCTTACATCAATAGATATAAACAATTCACCGAAGTTTCATGAGAATTGGTGACAGCATTTTTGAGTTATTGTCTGAAAACTGGAAAATCACCCCTTTTTTAATGAATAAAACCCCATAACTCAGAAATGTAAAACGTAAAATTTATAAAATTCTAAAGGGAGCTTACATCAATACATACAAACAATTCACCAAAGTTTCATAAGAATTGCTGAAAGCATTTTTGAGTTTTTGTCCGAAAACTGGAAAATCCCCCCTTTTTTAAGGATAAAACCCTGTAACTCGGAAACGTAAAATCTAAAATTTATAAAAATCTAAAGGGAGCTCATGTCAATAGACAGTCAGGGGACTTATTAAAATAAGTGATTTTTAAATCACTTATTTAAGTAGCAAATTCGAAGTTTTGTCACAAATTGTGATATTGTAGTTTTACCAAAATTTTAAACACATAGGTTTAGATAATATCTTTTCATTAGTAAAATTGAAAAAAATGAACTTTTTTCTTCTTTTAAGCAGCAAGGTTTATGCCTTTGATGCAATCATTTAGCTGCAAATTCTATTTTAGTTGAAAAAATGCTATAAAAATGGCTTTACATAATGAACTGATACCTTCTCAACAGATTTTTCCCAGCAGTGGGAGTACTTTTCCTGTAAAATTCAAGGTTTCATCTTACAGATTATGTAATAAAATTCTACTGTTCGCGATCAAAATTTCACTGTTCGGGGGTGTTGAAATTAGTGGGTGTTATTAAAATAATGATATTTAAAGAAGTGATTTTTTGGAAGGAAATTGAGGTATGATACTTAAACAAGTGATTTTTATGTCATTATCCTAGATTTAGTACAAGGTCATCACCTGACATGACCTGGTCATCCTATCAACACAGATGTTGGTTCTGATAATTTTAGCAACATAATTAGTCCCTGGATCATTAGTATTCTATATTTAAAGCTACAATAATATTAAATCACTTAGTCTAGTGATTAATTTGTACTACTTAAATAGGTGATTATTAAAGAAAGACAACTCTTACTTCCAACCTTTATGGACATAATGTTACTTGAATCAGTGATTTAGAAAATCACTCATTTAAGTAAGTCCCCTGACTGATAGATATAAACAATTCACCACAATTTCTTGCAACTTGGTGAAAGCATTCCTGACTTATTGTCCGAAAACTGGAAAACCCCCTTTTTTTAATGAATAAAACCCCATAACTCGGAAACGTAAAATCTAAATTTTATAAAAAACGAAAGAGAGCTCATGTCAATAGATAGAAACAATTTACCAAAGTTTTATGCAAATTGGTTAAAGCATTTTTGAGTTATTGTCCGACATGTTGACGACGGACGGACAGACGGACAACGGTATACCATAATAGGTTAATGGCCCTTTTTTTTACCGCCTATAAATGGTTCATTATATTTTGATCAAGAATTTAATAATTGATTTTATCTTTATGAGGTGCCGATTTGTCTAGGTGCCAATTTGTCTGGGTGCTGAACTGTCTAGAATTCCATGAATGGTGAACTCTATGAAATCAATTTTCATGCATATGGAAAAAAAATACACACAAATAAGACAGCTACCCAAATGACTAAGCTGCAATAGTCTTCACAAATAAACCACTTCATAAGATACTTCATCGAAGATATCATATTCAATAATGTCATAAATTAGTGCAGGAATTAAATTGGTTATTTGTAAAAACAGTCGAAATTATTGCTATATTAACACTAAACTTGCAAATTGAGCTAGACAAATTGAGGTCATGCCCACATACCTTTATCAGTCCAGGTAATTTTGATTTTTGGTTCATTATGTTTTGATCAAGGACTAATAATTGATTTTATCTTTCGGTGCCGATTCGTCTATGTAAGGTGCCGATTTGTCTGGGTGTCGAAGTGTCTTTCTAGGGTGCTGATTTGTCTGGGTGCCGAACTGTGCTACGATACAACATGACCAAGCGGAACAATATTCTTACCTATGGATAAGTGTTGCAAGTGATCTCTACACATGAATCATATAGGGAAAAATGAACTAAACTTTTATATTAAATGCCACGAATTTCTGTATTAAATAAGCCGAAAACAGATGAGGACAATCGGCATATATATTTTCTTCAGTCCTCAATCTACTTTCGTTATTGGCTTCAGGGGAATACAAGTAAGGGGGAGGGAAACCAATGATAATATGCTGGGAAGATCTTATTCGAACCTGTTGGTACTTTACCATATCAATTGAGTAAATATAAGAGATTATTGAAAAATAAATCGTATCTTGCCATTGGTTTAAAAACATTTCCGTCAAAATGACAATAAGTTATAACATGAATATTGATATATTTGAACTCTATTATTCTAAAATTAAAAGGCCAATACAGTTTTGTTTACAAACTAACGCGTATTAATTACAGCCATGCACATGTTTAAATAGGGATCATAATAGGTATATATGATTATAAAATGGCAACATTTAAAAAAAAGACTTTAAATTTATTTGTTTCTGTTGTGCACATATTTTTGTACTATATTAACGATTTGATGACACTCACAGGTAATTTGCATTCTAACTGCAATGCTCCTTTCATGAAACGTGTCACCAGGTTGTTGTATTTCAACTGTTCGATAGTTCTTAACTTCTGTTACTCCGTTGATTCACTCTAGAGTCAGTGATGATTATTTCATTTTTTTTCGTCTTCATCTTTTATAGACTATTCTTCTATTAATAAAAGGATGAACTATTTATCTATTTACAACAAAAGCGGCTTGCTTATGACAGCACCTTAGACAACAGAATATTTTAGGACCACTCTGTATTTGTCAATGTGAAATCATATAATATGTACATAAATAAACATTATTGTGACTTTTTCTTTTCTTTTCATCTTATCATTAAAATATATTAAAGAGTTTATAGAAAAAAAATCGTAAGGGTTCCGCGGAACCCAGTGTCTCGCCTACTTTTGTTGTAAAAGTGTTATAGTAGCAGGCTCAACAAAAATGGGGGAAATTATTGATTTTTTTCCTCTAGATACTATCTTTTGATTCTGTCCAACTGAAGTGTGGTTAAAATCCAGGATGGTTTGAATCTAATAAAGGTTTTAAAATCTTTAACTGCAGACTGTATGTAATGTTAACTGGAAGAAAACTAAGTCCATTTATAAGTAATATACGGAAAAACAGGAAATAAATTTTTATAAAATTTCCTTCTAGATACTAGCTTTTGATCATAAACAAGCTTCTATCCAAGTTTTAAAAACTATGCTAACTGGCAGAAAAAATAAGTCCATTTATAAGTAAATACGGATAAACAGGATTTTTTTTTTACAAAATTTACTTCTGGATACTATCTTATAATCATAAACAAACTTCCTTCAAAGTTTGGTAGAAATCGATGATAGTTTCAGAAAGTTATTAAAATTTTAAAAACTGTAACCACAGAGTGAATATTTGTGGACGCCACAATGTAGGATCGCTATGTCTCGCTTTTGCGACAAAAGTCGCAGTCTTGACAAACAGATGTGGAATGATTGCCAACGAGACAACTCTCCACAAGAGACAGATGACACAGAAATTAACAACTGTAGGTTACCGTACGGCATTCAACAATGAGCAAAGCCGTAAATACATATATAGATATAGGAAGATGTGGTATGAGTGGCAATGAAACAACTCTCCGTCCAAGTTACAATTTATAAAAGTAAACCATTATAGGTCAAGGTACGGCCTTCAACACGGAGCATTGGCTCACACCGAATATAGTCAGCTATAAAAGGCCCCGAAATGACAAATGCAAAACAATTAAAACGAGAAAACTAACGGTCTAATTTATGTACAAATAAATGAACGAAAAAATAAATATGTAACACAGCAACTAACGAAAACCACTGAATTACAGGCTCCTGACTTGGGACAGGCTCATACAGAATGAGGGGTTAAACATGTTAGCAGGGCTATGGTAGAATATTCCAATATAAGAAAAAAAACCATAAAAAGCAGTTAAAAAAGGCCTCAACTCATCAGATGGATTCAAATAGAAATACATCATACAAAAACAGACTGTATATTATCCTTTCATTTATTTAATAAACAGGATAGATCCACCCTTTGACCACAACCTGTGATATATTAATTCCAGGCGAGGAGCCAGTCATTTTGAAAGGGGATTCCGACTCCAGGAACACTCGCGGGATCTGCCGATGATTTCACGGGTTTCATTGTGTTTAGGTGTTTTTTTTTCAATTTGAGGAAATAGGCAGTAGAATTATTTGTAGGTTTTCTTAGCGTGGATTTCAATTGTGTAATCTCAGCAGGCAGATGCATGTCATGCCCCAGTCACACTATACCACGATCGCATCACGCTCACCGCAATCTAAAATAAATTCAGATCGTGGTGAGGTCGCGATAAGAGCGGCATGAAATGTAGATTTTCGTTGTTTTCGCGATGCTACTACGTCCTCGTTACGATTCTACAACGATCTTGCTACGATTATACCACGTTCTCACCACGCTTATTCTGCGACCTCACTACGATTATTTCGATCTTACTACGCTTATCACGTTCTCATTACGACCATACCACGATTTATCCGATCTCACCACGCTTCTTCTGCGATTATAGCACGCTCTTACCACGATCATTCTACGATATTACCACGTTTATACCGCGATCTAACTACGCCCTCAGCAGTAACGTCAACATCACTATCCATATCTACCAGAACTCGTGGGCGTGGTGGTGACGGAAAATGTAGTCAGAGGGGCCTCTGGTACGAATCCTGATCCAGTAGAGATGTCGGATCAACCAATCAAACTTGAATCACAACGTATTGCTGATCTATCCAGATCAACTGACGATATTTTATTGAACAAAAGTGGGAATGATACAGATGTGTAAAGCATGGTTGAGCTGTTGAATATTAGGGTCATGAGGTCCAAATTACATACAGACAAACAAAACATGGAGAGCTTTTATATATTTTATGTGACGATGACAGTGAGCATGGCTAGAACTCGAAATGGTCGTAGTATGAACGTAGTCAGGTCGTAAGACGGGCGTGATGAGGACGGCATGAGCAGTGGCGGATCCAGAAATTTTCATAAGGGGGTCCCACTGACTGCCTAAGAGGGGGCCCGCTCCAGTCATGTTTCATTGATTCCCTATATAATCAACAAAATTTTTCCCACAAAAGGGGGCCCGGGCCCCCTGGAAAACCCTCTAAATCCGACTCTGATGAGCGTGCTAGAATCGTACTCAGGGGCAGATCCAGCCATTTTAAAAAGGGCCGGGGTTCCAACCATATGTCCCGATTCAAATGTATTGATCGTCCATAAAAAGGGGCCGGGGTTCCAACCCCCGGAACCCCCCTCTGGATCCGCCACTGGTACTATGGTTTTGAACAGCGTAGTATAAACGTGGTATAGTCGTAGTAGAAGCGTTGTTTGGTCGCGGGGAGAACATGATGGTCGTAATAACGTCGCTGTGAGATCGTAGCGCAATCTCTCAGACTAGATTCGCGCTTACGCTACGCTCTCGCTACGCTCTCGCTACGATGGTACAGCGACCTTTGCGATCTTAGCACGACTTTACTGCGCTCTCGCTACGCTTCTACTACGACCTGATTTCGGCACGACCGCACCACGATTGTTTTGAACATGTTCAAAGTTGGCCACGCTCATCACGGTCATGAAGACCTCACCACAACCTTACTGCGATCTTCACGATCGCACTACGATCGTCAAAATTTGCATTTGTTTCAGAGATCGTAGTGCGATCGTGGCCTAGTGTGACTGCGGCATAAGGAGCACTATTAAAACTTAAAACACTAAGTCAAAAACTCAAATACAAACTGTATGTACATAGTTTGAAAAACTGGATTCCCCATTTACTTTATTTCGTGTCATTCTTTTTTTATGTTTTTGTTCCAAGAACAGAATTCAATCCCTCAAAACAACCAGCTAACTACTTTTTCATGTAGTATGTCTCTGCTTGAACATAACATATTGTGATTAAAAGCACCGAAAACAAATTTTCAAAAGTGTTGGACAGACTGAATATTCCTGGATCATTTGATTCCATTTCATTTGTTCTTGAAAACTGGGACCATTTATATTAAACCTAGTTGAAAATAATCCAAGTCAATATCCTATTGAGTTCTCATTCTAATTTTCATTGCCTTTGGTGGCTATTTTGAATTCTCTGTTGACCCAAAATAGTACCTATTGTTAATATGACTGTAATTGGCTGTTATGTTTAGTTTCAGTGAGTTGGCTGGTTTAAGAGGAAGCCTTGATGGTTGGTTATCTTGTCGGAATTATTTTACACTTTGTAATCTTTGTGTCTTTCATAGATTGCTACACAATGCCATACATAACTGTTACCTGTATTTTCTAACACTAACTTTGGTCTCTGGTGGAAAGTTGTCGCATTGGCAATCATACCACATCTCCCTAAATATATTGATACAGATCCAAGAAAATAGAAGCTACAAGTATCATTCTATTAAACATACAAAATTTCTGAGAAAGGCAATTCTGTACTTTTGGATATATGTTTTTTTAATTTTAGTCAACTTGAACTTTCACATAGACAGTTAATTTATATGTGAGCCTGTCTGTTTTATTTAAATGGTTGACAATATATCATTTATCCATTTCATACCCTTGTGACATTAAAATATTCTGAGCATACATGTAACATGACATGGGAAGAAAGATAGTCACACACATACCAAATAGTTCTTATATTTGGGATATTACATGTGACTGTTAATACTAATATATATGTTAGTATTTTCATGATAACAGGTCTAATAACCACTTGACTTGGTTAAAAAAAATCTTGGATTCTATGAAAAGGAATGCTTTTCCTTTTAAATGCAGCTTGAAAATGTTGAGTTGATGCCTATTAGCAATTTTAAGATCTGCCATGTCTGCTGTGTAGCTACATCTTGTTTCCTGGTATTTTAGAATTAATTGCAAGCAGCCACAAAGGTCCAGACCTGGTATTGTTCTTTTTTTTTATATTTTATGATGCTCTTGTTAAAACAGTTTTTAAATTTTCAATATCTTTTCTGGTACATGCAGCTCATTTTTACCTGAAATAGAGAAGAGTCATATAGATATTTTGATAATATAAATAAAGA